GAGAGAGAGACCTTAACTAATAAGGTAAGTCTAATCTTAGTCACATGTTGATGCTTTTGTTAGAGTTGCCATTATATTGACGTGAGTAATAAAATGAAAATTTTTATTAGAGTTGCCATTATATTGATGTGAGTAATGACATGTAAGTCTATGAACAATTTCATGTTAATTAAGATAGGCTGTAAAATTTTTCAAATATTTTCGACATTATCAAATTGTAATTCTTTGATTTTTGTACCAAGTTGTAATCAATTACATACTAAAAAAACAAAGTCTTACACAATACATTTTTTCGCTCAAACAAAAAAGAAATTATTTGTAGGCTAAAAAAAAAAACAAGCTTTCTATACTTAAAGAATAAAAAATTAAAAAATTAATCACTTTTCTCCCTCTTTTAAGCATTGACACTCCTCATCCCTTCATTGTCACCCTTTGCCTCCACTCTTCCTATTTTACAAGTTTACCTTCTTCCCTCATCGGTTGTCTTCAAGACTACTCTACTTCCTTACTACTCAATTTTTCTCTCCCTAAGCAAAAAACATCACTCTTCTATTCCTTTGTTCATTTGTCTCAAATAAATTTCTAACCCATTTCCTCCTACTACTTCTCTATCTCACTTCTTTCTTTTGTCTTTTTTTCTTACATACACTTTTTGTTCTACCTAGTTAATAACAAGGGCCTCAAACCCACAACCCTAGAATTTTACTTACAATATCCAATGTTTTCTTCACTAAAATTCAAGTTTTAGTTTGTCTCTACCGAGACAAGAAAAATAATGAGTCATAAGATGTAAGGTCTTTAGGGAAGGTAACTTTTTTTAAAACTACATATTTATATGTTTTAGCTTTATTTTGAATCTTGGATGTCTAACTAATATAGCATGGTTCCATGATTAATTTATCAAATAGGTAACTGTTGGTATATGTACTAAGAACTTAAATATTTTATTTAATATTATAACAAAATATAATAAATACCTATAGAGTCATACACAAAGAACAAGTTTACTAAAAAAAAGTAATATTTTAGTTGGACTAAAATAATATCTTATTGGGTCAAACTCATTAAGAATGAGTCACACTACAGTAGGTAAGAGAAAATTAAGGTTAGTTACCTCTGTATGCTTATAAATAAAGCATAAATACTCAAATTCAGAATACTCTTTTGGAAAAACTCAATCGTCTCTCTTCCAAAAGTTACTAGCATAGTAAAAATAAATGATTCTAGTAAGTGTTTCTATGAACTTTTGTAAAAACATGATCGTTAATGCCACATGCTCATATAAAAGGTACTCCATATTTATAGTGTGTGTATGTGTTGCTTTTTTACTTTGAAATTTATATCACAAGAGTAGTTAAAAATCTTTAATGTTACACTGTATTATTTGTGTTCAATTTTTAACATGACTTTCATGACTCAGAGATAAATGAGTTTTGTAACTCAAAACAACATGAATCATGTTCCTGCAAGGGTAACACTGATCTTCAAGTCTCTGATCTGCTGTGATGACGTCTCTCTGGTATTCGCTGACGTGGGGAGGGTACTTGCAAAAGGCACTCCGATGCTGAAGTCAGGATTCGATTCTGAGTAATAAATGGTATTCAATAATGAAAATTTTTTCTTTTACCTGTACTTTTACCTTCCTTATATAGGCACTGTAATGGGCTAATGGGCCTGCTAAGTCAGTCTTGATCTTTGGCCTTTTAATTAAAACAAATAATATCTTGATTATTACTCTAAATTAGGTTTAATTACCTCTTAATCCTAACGAAGGGTATTTGGCCAAATTAGGCCGAATAGGTACTCGGTCTCTTTTTACTACAAGTAGGACCGAGTTGGTCCTTACCCAGTACAAATCCCTTTTGCTTAAATTTGTTATTAAATTGATATTAGAAACATATCCTGATGTTTTAAGAAAATTAAGTTTTAACTGCCTAATATTTTTGGCTTTCTATGTATTTGCTAGCATGTCCACACGAGAAAATGAGACAAATATGAAGCCTTTTCGAGTTTTCTTTGGCACTCGACGTACAACAACTCTGCCACAAATGATCACGTTGTCTCTTTCATCTGCTAAGTTTAATTATCTAAATTATTAGTTGACAACAAATAAATAAATAAATAAAATTTAATTTTAGGACTATTTTTATATTATTATTATTATTATTTTTAATTAAAATATTTCAACTAATTAATATAATACTAATATTGGAATAAGTAATTGGTATAATCAAAAGTAAATTGAAATATTCACCGTTTGGATTGACATGGTTTTTGGTTAAAAAATTATTTGATTTAATTAAAAAATATATTTTGATTTAGTTTAGATTGAATTAAATGATTTAATTTTATAATTTTTTTTAACTTAGTTAAGACACAATGAATAAATCATTATATTTTATTTTCTTATTTATAATTAAAACTTATGTTTTACATAAAAATTATGGGAAAAGATATTATATAAAAAATATCTTATATTTAATATAAAATAAAATAATCTATAAATACATTAAAATAATAAAATATATCTCTAAAAAAAATAATAGTAAAGTTTAACTTTAAAAGTATTAAAAAATATTTAAATATTATGATTTTATAAATATATAATTATACAAAAATGAGTGAAGTTAACTTTATAAATAAAATTATATATGTACAGATAAATTTAATTTCAATTAGATTGATTAATTTTTAAAATTATATTTAAAATATAATTTAATTCATTAATTTTTTTTTTATTTTTGTTATTATGATTTGCATTGAATTAGATTAGATTATAAACACCTATTTGTTTATAAGTTGAGTGACACGCTGAGCATTTATATTACATTGATTATTAATACAATAGTTTTCTCAAAATTAATAAAAAATATATTTTTATTAGAAATTTTAATATTTAATGTTATTAATTTATAAAATTTAATGATATTATATTTTTTTAAGAAATTATTAGAAATAAGTTCTCATAGTAGACCTCTATTTAAAAAACTATTTATATATTATAATTCACAAATTTAATATAAATTAAGATTTTTTTAAAATAAATATTTCTATAAAATATATAAATTAATTTTTGTAAAAATAAAATAAAATAAATACAAAACTTTAGATATGTCATTTATTTGTGAAATATCAAAATATGTTTTTGTTTATAATGCAGTATAGTCATAAAAAGACAGAATGTAATCAGTCCAAATGTTGTGCGATCTATGCTCAAGTTAACACAACTGTCTTTAAGTTTTTTAGTGTTTTGGTGTTAAATTCTAAAAGCTATAACATTTTGCATACAATTTTAATTTGTTCAAATTATATATCAATTTTAAGATTTATTCAATCAAATTTACCATAAATTTATAATAAATCACTTAAAAGTGGTGCCAAGTCAAGCTAGTATAAAAAGAAAACATTACAAAATTTTCAACATTATCAATTTTTTAATAATAAAAAAATTCATCAATTAAATTTTAATTAAAATAAAATACCACCTATAATATCCCATTGTAACACAATCAAGCAAACAAAAAGGAATAAAAACAAGATACATTTGTTTCTTATAAAAATGATGAAACATAAAATCGTAAAATTCGCTAATAAAATATAAAAAAATTAAAAAATCATCAAAATATTAAAATTTTGAGTCCAAATGCACTATCGATGTTTTCATAAGTAAATTTTGAAAAATTATATAAAATAAACATATATTTTACACAAATCAAAGTTTTATGAAAAAAAAAAGCCTAAATCTCTTCAAAGTTCAAAACAAAAAAGTAAAAAAAACACTTGCATCACGCTGAATTAAGTATGCTTGTATTAATGTATATCACAAATATGTCTTATGTTAATTGTGTTAATCACAAACACAAATGTGTGGTTATATAGTGTGATTTACTTACAAATTACAAGTCATCACACCCTATGAGATTTATATACTAAGAAGAAAACATATTGTGATACCTTTTAAAAAATGATGTTTTCAAAGTTATATATATATTATATTAAATAATTTTTTTTTAAAAAGTGTACATTGAATGATTAGGCTAATTAAAGTGTTACACGAATAAAAAACATGAAGTTATCCATAAAGTCTAATTATAAACTGTATGAGAACAAATACAAAAAGATGTCGATATACAAATTATTTTAAACTATAAATTTAAAAAAACAAAAAAAATCCTAAATTATTATAAGAGAAATTCTTTTTATTTTGTTTGATAAAATGTGAATTAATTGTTGTAGACAAATTTTTTTTTCCAGCATTACATGTAACTCAAATTCGAAATCACATATTAGGATAAAACAATCTCTACTAAGTAATTTACGTACTCGGTAATCTAAACTTTCATATAAAAACTGATATACAAATTCTTTTACTTATAAAAATTAAGATAATTTTTTTATAGAAAAACTAAAAGTAAATTAAACTAGTTACATTAAATAACTGTTCATCATATTAAAAAAGAGTTAACATCAAAGAGGAAATTTAAAAAAAAATTATATAAAAACTAAAAGTTTATTTATTTCTTATTTTAATAGTTAAATTAACTAAATTTAGTGAATATAAAAGATTATTATAAAACATATTAATAAAAATTACTCTAAGGACAACTTTATTTTTATATTAAACTTACAATCAAATTTATACGAAACATTTTATATTTTTCCTACAATATTATCTATTTATTCCTTTAATATTAATAAACAAAATGTTAATAAAAATAAATGCATCTAATATCTTAAAGATATAAAATAATTATTTTCTTTTTAGCAACCATATAACATTAATAAAAGGAGTTGCAAATAGATTTATAATTTTTCAATTTACATTAATAAATAATGAATACACACCATCTCATTTACAATTCTCGTTTAATATTTAATAAAATTTAATTAATAATTATCATTTAGTATTTTTGGTTTTCAACTAGGGTTAATTATGAATTAACAAATGACTTATGGTGAGATATAGAGAACAAAAGGGGAAGGTACCCGCATCACACAACAGCCAAATCTTCACTCCTACTTCTTCTCTTCACTTGCCATTTTCCTCTCTCTCTCTCTCTCTGCATGCGAGTGTTGGTATGGTGTGAGTGTTTGAAGATTGATCTCCATGTTCTGCTCTTTCTTCGCTCCGATCCTTCTTCATCAACTATGGTTACGCTCCCATTCCCATTTTCCCAAACCCCCCATTTTTCTCTTTCCTTTTTATCATTCCCCCATTTCATATTGGTTTTTTCTTTATCATAATTTAATTCTGAGTCCAATTCATCTTTCTTGTGTGTTTGCGAGTGAAATTGTTGCATGCAATTCCATCACTCTATTGGGTCTAATTAATTTTTGCTTTGAATTTATTTATTTTATTACCAAAAAATCAATTGTTTATTTCGTTTTTCATTTGTCCATTTCAGGAACGCTGTTTTCACTGCTCCCTTCAGGTTATAGCTTAGCTTCTGCTTCTCTGCTTGCAAAAGTAATAATAAAAAAAGGTTATCATTTATTGAGAATTTGAGCTAACATCTTTGGATTTTAGCTCGAATACTCTCACGTCCTGTCAGAAACACACACAGGTATCTCTCTCTCTCTCTCTCTCTCTCTCTCTCTATATATATATATATATATATATATATATATTTATTTATTTATTTATATGGACCTGTTGAGTTGTGATGTGGCAGTTAATTTTGTTGAAGTTTAGAACATGCAATTTATTGTTTTACTCATGTTATAATGTTATAATAAAAGCGTTTCTATGTTGTTGTAACCAGCGTTAGGTCGGTGGGGAAAATGAAATATGTATTGTGAGTAAGCCTTGAAGATGGGAATTATTGTCTTTTTTTTCATCTCAAGCAAAAGAATGTAGGTTCTTGGCTTTTATGATGCTTTTAATTGTTTCTCTTTCTGTTTCATAATTGCGGTAGTTCTGTTTGTTTTTTAGGCTCCTTGATAAAAGCCATTTCTGGTTTTCTTCTTTATTGTCTAGATCATTGAACATCATTATACTTGTGTCCTGATGTGTTTTACAACCCAATCTCCCAAACAAAAGTAAAAGGAATTTGGCTATTAGCACTGCAATTTTTGGACTTTTTTTTTCCTTTTGCCCGAGCTTTTTTTGCATTTTTAAATAATTTAATTTGTTATTGTAAACTCCATTGCAGAGACTGTTATTTTAGAAATGAGTCAAATGACAGATGAGGTCAAAGACATCATGCACTGCAATGATCAGATTGGGTCTCAGTTAAATGATGAGGGTAATGGAGGAAGTGTTGGTGGAGTTGTTCTGAAAAAAGGGCCATGGACATCTGCTGAAGATGCGATTTTGGTGGACTATGTCAAGAAGCATGGAGAGGGGAACTGGAATGCTGTTCAGAAGTACTCGGGCTTGTCACGTTGTGGTAAAAGTTGTCGACTGCGATGGGCCAATCATTTAAGGCCAAATTTAAAGAAAGGGGCATTTACTCCAGAAGAGGAGCAGTTGATTGCTGAACTCCATGCCAAAATGGGAAACAAATGGGCACGCATGGCAGCACACGTAAGCATACTCTATATTTGTCGTTGCCTTGAAAATTTGGTTATCTTGTTTCAATTTGCCAATTTTTTCTCTTTTTGCTAAATGTATTAATTTGATTTGTCATTGGTGATGTCATTGTTCCTTGTTTATGCCTTCCTTGTATAATCTAACAGGAATTCCATATGACAACCATGTCTTCTTTTTAATTTGATTTGTCCCTAACAATATGAAATGAGCTAGTTAGATTTATGAATCTCAGTTCAACAACAAACATAGATAAATAAATGAAACTGCTCATTAGAAATAGTATAATTTGCTTACTGGTGATTACATGTACATTCTACTGGCTGGTGTAAGGGCTGACTCTAATGTGTCATAAATACAGTTTAGTTGTCATTTTAATAAGATTCTGTGTTTTAAATAAAACGACAACAACAACCAATTTTAGTTGTCACTAGGTGAGGTCAGTTACATGGATTACATGACACTATTGGGTCGGTTAAAAACCAATTTTTCCAAAATTTAGTTAATAAAAAGGTGTCTTTTAATAACTTCATCTAAGAGTTTTTTGGGTCTCCTTTGCCTTCTCTTTATCGGAGTAATAGTCATGCAATCCACTCTTCTTACTGACGCCTTTAAAGGTTTTCTTTGCACATACCTGAACCACCTTAGACGATTTTTATTCATTTTTTCCATGATAGGTTCCATAGTAGTCAATCTTGGATAGCAACACAAAGCAGCTAACCCTAAAAATGCTATAACAGGATAGCGGATAGCGAGATGACCACTATTTTAGGCATTTTAAATATACGTGATGTAAATTAAACTACACACATATATGCTGAAAAATACAAAATTAAGACCCAAACTGAAGACATGCAATATTAATGATCAAAAGTGAAAGTTTAAAAACATAACACATGTCAAATGTCAATAATAACTAATAACAAAATACAGGAACTAAACAAATTCAAATCTAATGCTTAGAAGTTTAAAAATACTAAATATTCAATTTAAATACAAATATTTTAATAGTTATCATCAACTTCATCTCCAAGATCTGCCATGTATTCTTCATTTTCTCTTCCATCACTATTTTTGTAGCGGCCTTCCTCCTCTTTTTCAGAGTTTTTATCATCACATTCTTCTCCTTCTTGTACAATTTCCTTCCCTTTTCTTTTACATTTAGAGGAAGAAGCAATTGTAGTTCTCTTGGGTTTTGATCTAGCTTGTCGCTTAGTGTTGGTTATAGGCTCACTAGCATGGTAGTTAAAATTGGGAGTTGAATTGTAAAATCCTACGATTTTGGTCAGCCAAACGATGGAAATCGTAGCAGAAATGGCAGTGAAATTGCGATTTGAGTTGTAAAATCGGTGGAATTGCATTTTGATTTCAATTAATTGTGGGTTGGTTTTGGATCACGACCCAAATCCTTCATAACCTGAGCCCAACTCCGCTTATATTTAGGCTCAAACAAAGTCCCTTGTTCTTGAATCCTATTTTCTTTCTTTGTCAAACCCTAGACCTCAGAGCGACTAAGTTTGCAATGTTTTATTGTGTGTTCTTCGTGATCTCTCTGTAGTTTTCTCTGCCCCAATCCTGCATGTTAGCTATTTTCTTCTCATCTTACTTTGTTTTCTTCATGGAACCCTAAACCGACAACGACTTGTTAGCTGTTCTCTTCTTGCTCTTTTTTTTTGTATCTTGTCCGAGAATTGCTTCAAACATGCTTGGTGGTCAAAGCTCAAGTGGTGGGGGTTCTAGGTCACTCCCAACTGCAACCGACAGCTCCACCGCGCTTGATTCTTTAAGCGTGGGGATCCTTATGATTTTAGTGTGGCACAATTGTTAGATTAGACATCTTAGAATTAGAACATTACTAGTTAGTAGTTGCTATTTAATTTGGTGTTTGTGCCTTGTAATATGTAAAAAACATGATGATTTGGCTATTTTGGGTTGTTACATTATGGATTATGCTAGATAGTCTTATGGATATGTATTATTTAAGTGCTTTTAGTGATTTAATGTGTTTTTTTTTTTTTTTTTTTTCAGCTATTTTATATGCATAATATGAATTTATATGCATGTATATATAATTTTTGTAAAATCTTATGATTTGATTTATGATTTTACGATTTACGATTTTTACTTCTCTTAAAAGATTTGAAGTAAAATGTCAATTTTAACTACCTTGCTCACTAGCCCCAATTGCATTTGCAATAGCTCCTCAAGTCAAGTTATCATCATCAAACACTAATTTATCTACAACATCTTTATCATCTTCACTAGTTCTTTCTAACAACCAATCATTACTATCATCAACATCCTTTTAAGAGAATAAGATCTTTCACATGAGAACACTAAAAACGTTCATTAAGTTATATTTAATAAAAACTAAGTCTTACAACTTTTGATGCTCAAGTCTGCTTCTCTTTTTAGAATGTATTTAAAAATATATTAATTTCACACTTTCAATATTATTAGACCAAACATTTTAAATTGAAATTATTTGACATTTACTTACGTGCTCAAAAGTACTCTAATTTCGTTCACATTTAGATGAACTACGAGTTAAACTCAATACTTAATGACAATGGTTTGTAAATATGGCATATGTACTCCACAGTTCTTTCACCATTTAGCTGCAATTTATGCCATAACTTATTAACATTGCTATCTTATTCTTATGTCTATATAATTACATTACAATGAAAAATTAAACAAATCTTTGACTAGGAATCATTGTAGCCCTTTATCATTTTGCTCCACTCAAACCAAAGAGACATTTAACTCTTCTATATGTTGACAATTGAAGTGTAGCATTGTTTACATCCTCTTCACTTGTACATAGCTCTCAATATATTTATATAAGCCGTCCATAACTTTAAGATTATTTTCAATTTGTTTATTGTTGTAAAAATATTGAAGATTTAGATAATGACCTACAACATGCAATGGATGATGAAGTTGACACTCCCATCTTCTATCAATTATAGCAAAATTATCGTTATACTTGTCTTCATCTCCTTTGAATGCTTTGTTTAGCTCTATCAATTGCTTCATATATGTTACCCATTGCACGCTTTTTTCATTATCAATAAGCCTCAAAACTTGGACAAGTGGCCCCATAATAAATCCAAGGGGCCCTTGACATTTTTTCTTTATTAATAGCAGTACAACCACTAACATAAGTTGATGCAACACTTGAGGTTGTAGGTCTTTTTCCATTACGAATATTTTAAATTTCTTGCACCTCTTCTTCCTCATCATCATCTTTATTAGGTTGAAGTAAATGTGCTGCTTTTTCAGATTTATTCTGATGTGCTGCTGTTAGTGTTTTTTTTTATTTCTTTGAGAATCATTAGGCAGCTATCAACATCTTCGTTCACTCCCATCTGATGCTGCTCAAGTAATATTGTCGGTAGTAGTTTTTCTCAAAAGTAACAAGTAACAGGCATTTTATTATTTATGTCTTTGAAATTGTTCCATTGCCAACCTATAACCAAATTATTTCCAATTGGCTTCACTATTGCATGGGAAGAAATTAAAAGAGGCAGTTCTTGTGACTGATTGGTAGGATTGCTTCTGTTTAGGCATTGAAAATTGAAACAAAATAGAGTAGAAAAATCAAAATAGAGAAGGAAAATAGAGAAAAGAGAATGTTCAGTCACCGGAAAATGTGCAGGTTTGTTGGAAAGTTCATCAGAGATGTAGATAACTGGAAAATGTCTAGATGATGGAAGTTTCACTAGACTTAAAGAAGATGACCGGAGATGAAGAAGACATCTAAGAACAGTCTGGGTCATGTTGGAGGTTTCATCGAAGATGAAGATGACCAAAGATTTCTGTTGCGTTAGAAGCCTAGCTGAAGATGAAGGACCTCAGAAGTAGTGGAATTGCATAGAATAGAGATGAAAAAAAATGAATGAAAGAGAATTGAGAGGGCTTAAGACTCGCAAAGGAGGGAGGGAGAAGATATCAGAAAGTAAGGGGGGGTCGAAATCCCAAGATTTCCCTCCCTTAAAAGTCGCCAACATTGAAAAACAGAGGGCAAATTCAGAATTTCTGCGCGAATGGATTAGCAGCCTCGATTTCCCCTATTTTTTGCCGCAATTCGAGGCATGATGGCCGCTCTTGTGAAGTGCAATGCGACTAAGTCTCCATAGTGGCACCTTGCTTCTCTATCGCAATAGCGGTTGCTGGTCGCTATTGACTGCTATTATAGGTGTTACTTCAATATTCTTTCATATATTATCATTTTGTATTTTGTCTTTTCTTGTATGCCTACTCATCCACCTTAGCATTCTCATTTTTGTTTCTTTTGCTTTTTCCTTGTGTTATTCTTTTAAAGTCCAACATTCACTACCATATAAGATAGCTAGTCATATTGGAGTATGGTAAAACTTTTCTTTCAGCTTGATAGGTACTTTATGGTCACAAATAGCTTCTGATGTCTTTCTTCATTACTCAAGTTTAGCATTAATCTCTTTTTTTGAACTCTTAACTAATACTATATCTTCTGGAAAGAGCCTGCACTAAGGGATAATCTTTTGTATATTAATTGTAATCACATTTGATACTAGATTAAATAAGTAAAGGTTCAAAGGGAGCTTTGATGTAAACCTATCTCAATTGGAAAGTTTTTAAATACGCCTTCAAAAGTTCTCACAGATGTAGCTAGTCTCATACATGTCTTGTGTATTCCAAACATATGCTACATGAACCCTTTTCTTTTTTAAAGTCTTCCATAACACTTTTTTAGGTACCTTATCACATGCCTTTATTTATTCAATGAAAATTATGTGTAAGTTCTTTTCTTTGTAGCAATATTTTTTAATCATTTTTTTGTAAAAGATATTTAGCTTCAATTGTAGACCTCCCTAACATAAAACTAAATTGATTTTTTGCAATCTTAGTTTCCTCCCGTATTTATGTTCAATTACCTTTTCACACAACTTCATAGTGTGACATGAGTTTACTCTTTCTATAGTTTGCACATTTTTGAATATTCCCCTTGTTCTTGTATATAAGAACTAAAATGTTCTTCCTTCATTCATTTGACATATTCTTAGATTTTAAAATCTTGTTAAGGAGCTAAGTGTTGCACTTTTCCAAATTTTTCCAAACTTCTATAGGGATATTATCGTGGCTAATTATTTTACCATTCTCTTAGGAGTTTCTTTTACTTCTCCAACTCAAATCTTATGCTAATATGCCAAATTTAGATTATTTGCTTGTACTTCTAATCCTGTTAAATTTTCACTTGCTTCTTGTCTCTCTTTAAAAAGTTTATAGAAATATTTCTCCTATTAGTCTTTGATGTCTGATCTGAAACCAAAATTTTTCCTTCTTCATCCTTAATATATCTAACTTGATCCAAATCTTTAGATTTTCTTTCTCTACTTTTGGCAAGTTTATAATTCTCCTTTCAGTCTCAAGATCTTGATAGAACCCTTCAAAAACTTTAGAATGTGCTTCACTTGCTGTTTTTCATGTCTCATTTCTTGCCTTTCGATACCTTGTCCAATTTTCGGCATTATTACATGTATGCAAAGTTTTAAAACACATCCTCTTCTCTCTAATACTCTCTTACACACTTTCATTTTACCATCATGATTCTTGGCAACTTTCCTCACCTTTGTAGCCATATTGTCTCAAATGATATTAGCATTACCTTGTGTCAACTAGCTACCCGCTTGCACTAACTACCTCTGAAAATCCAATAGTTTCTCACTTTTAAGTAGCCACCACTTAATTCTTGGAACATTAACTTGTCAAAATCTTTGTTTATCAGTCTTAAAACGAATATTAGAGACCAAGGCCTTATGTTGTGTAGTAGGGCTCTCTCTTGGAATCACTTTACAATCCTTGCAAATTTCTTTGTTTAGATTCCTTATTAGGAAAAAATCGATTTGAGACCTTGAAACTTCGCTCTTAAAAATGATAAGATGTTTCATCATCTTCTTAAAACAAGTGTTTATAATCTTAAAAGTCATAGGACATTTGAGAAATCAAGAATGAATTGTCCTTCCTCATTTAACTCCAAAATCAAAACCATCATGAGTCCTTGCAAATTGTCTCGCTTCACAACCAACATGTCTATAGAAGTCCCCAGTTATGAAAATCTTTTTAGTTTGTGGGTATGTCTTGGATCAACTCCTCTCAATCCTCCCAAAACTTGCTTTCCAATAGACTTTCAAATGAGCTTGCAAGTCAACTTGTGGAGCATAAGCACTGATGAAATTAATAGTGTCTTGTACAACAAATAAAATCAAGGACATGATCTTATCTCCAATCCTTTTGATCTTTACTACTCTCTTTTTCCTAGTATTATCCACAATTATGCCTACGCCATTCGTTCCCTTGACTATGCCTATGTACCAAAAATTGAAACCTATAGTATTGAGATCCTTAGGCTTATTTCTAATCCTTCTTGTTTGTTGAAGGTGCATGATGTTAAACATTTTACGAATTAGTGTCCATCACTTTCAATGACTTTCCTGTCAAAGTACTAATATTCCATGAACCAAACCTAAACATGTGTTTTCAGACTAACTTCTTTGCCCACATTCATCCAGCCAAAATGAGGACCCTTGCTCATTTAACACTACATCTGGGTGCCAATTCAGCGGCTTTAGCTCATTTGATATTATACTCAAGCCATACAGTGCGTTACCTAGAAGCGTTACTTCTAGGTAACGACCTAGCCCTAACACAATATTGTTATGTGTAATCCATATAAAAGTTTTTGACAAGTTTTACGTTGGCTGCTGAAAGCCTAACCAACCGTCCTCCTTTACCTGAGCTTGGAACCAACTATGGGGCCATAGGTGGAGTTTGTATTTAAAATAAAGCATTCCATAAAAATGTCATTTAATGCTGCTTCTTTTAGTGTGACAAATCTGCACAATAGAGAGCCTTGCAACATCTTTCTAATTGTTCTGAATATCATCATGTTTGTTTAGGGAAAGTAATCAGTTAGGATTATGGTACATTGTTCAAGATGACACTCATCTCAGAGCATGTGTTTGAATTTTTTCACTGTCTGAAATCACTTTTAGTTCCAAAAATATTGAGATGAACTAATAAAATTGAAAATTAACAAGCATAATTTTACTCTAAAATGTTATAAATTATAAAATATTATGGAACCTGTTAATTCACAATGTGAAAAAGGTTCCCTATGTCACATTGTGGCTGCATTTTCTGGTCTTTTGTTGTCGACAAAAAATGACATATGGTAACATGCCAACCTAGGGATATGACAATCATATCAATTTTAAAATACATTCAATAGATAAAGTATGTACATATGAGCATTTATGTCAACGATAGTGATGTATGCATAACAATTTTTTTCTTGATGTTACATTTAATGTGATAAAATATTATTTTTCCTATCACCCAAGATCATGTAACAGCAGAAATAAGATTCTTGCTAACCTCCTCCACCTTTTTATTCAGTTCAAAACACCATTCTTCTCCTTTCTAAAATAGAAATAAGTTATTGGCAAGCCTTAGCTCACAGAATTTTCCCATGGCTTTTTAACATTATGGAGCTCCTGTTGGTATTGGAGCAGGGAGGAAGGGGTGTTTGATTCCCCACATGCAATTTCCTCATTCCTGTGTTGATTCTAATGTTCAGGAGTGTTAAGACATTTTGTAAGAGGGACAGAAATTAGTGAGTTGAAAGAAAAAACAGGTAGAGAATTAATTGTGCATAAAAAGAAGTGGACAAATAATTTAGATTTTGGTAAAATCCTTAATAAAACATCTTAAACACTCCTGAACTTTTTATTTTATAAATCAAAGTAGAACATTTTTGTCTGAATGAGAAGTTGGAACTACCCCTTACGAGAGGGAGAAGAGGCTTGGTATATTCTCTATAAACAATGATTTATAATGATTTTTCTTCTGCTTTTAGTTGCCTGGTCGTACAGATAATGAAATAAAGAACTACTGGAACACCCGGATCAAGAGGCGTCAACGGGCTGGCTTGCCACTTTATCCTCCCGAAGTATGTTTACGAGCACTGCAAGAGAGTCAGTGTGGCCAAGGTACCGATGGAATTAATGATGGTGATAGAGGGCATCATGATTTCTTGCAGAAAAACAACTATGAGATACATGATGCAATATTTGACAGTTTGAAGGAAAATCAGGGAATCTTACCTTTTGTGCCTGAGCTTCCTGATATTTCTGCCCATAGCATTCTGCCAAATGGTCTTGGTTCTCCTCCCTATTGTAATTTTGTGCCATCCACATTACCTAACCATAATCATCTTCAAGAGTCGACAGTGTCTTTATTTGGTTCCAGTGGGATGAACAGGAATGGATTTTATCCATTTGACCATATGAAGGATAATCCGTCCGATAATATTGCAGATTCATTTGGATTGCATTCTCCCCTTGATCCTGTTGCCTCCTCACATAGCTCAATTTGTCACAGCCATTCACTATCAAATGGCAATTCCTCTACTTCTAAGCCGATTTCTGAGGCTGTGAAGTTGGAGCTCCCTTCACTCCAATATCCAGAAACTGAATTTGGTAGCTGGGGTACCTCTCCCCCACTTCCATTGAATGAGTCTGTTGATGCTTTCATTCATTCTCAGCCACCTAATGCAATAGACTCAGGTTGTTCTTCACCACATAATAGTGGCTTGCTTGATGCATTACTTTATCAGGCAAAGACTCTTAGTTGTTCAAAGAATAATTGTTCTGACAAGAGTTCTAACTCATCTATTGCAACTCCTCATGAGAGTTCTGCTCTGAACTTGTATGAGACAGAATGGGAGGATTATGCTGATCCTGCATCTTCCTTTTGTGCAACTTCAATCCTGAATGAGCATCCTGCTGTTAGCGCCAGTGGAAACTCATGGGATGAATGGGTACCTTTTCAGACATATAGTGGTTAGTATCTTTTACTGTGGTATGATGAAGGATGATAGTTGAAAAACATACGAGTATATGCTCACATTAACGTACATCTTTGGCACCATGCAAAACTTAATTATTTGAACATTACTAGTTTTTATCTCATGGTTCATTGTTTCAGTTGCCATATATTTGTGTGAAATCATTCGAATTAGTTACTTCATGCACATTCTGGAACTTAAAAATATTGGCACATCCTAGATAAATTGAGAAATTTTCTTTCCTGTGGTAAGTTTGTCTCAATAAATTCATTGAGTTTTGATGAAAATAAAGGTGTATTTTCCCTTAATTCCCATTTTTAAATTTTCCAGTTGCTACAAAGCTATCTTGATTCTTTGCAAAAGTTGAGATTTTGTTAGAAATTTCTGCAGGCAACAATTCGAAATTAGAGTCAGTTGACCAGGTTTGGCCCCCTAAGAGTGAAAATCAAGTCATATCCATGTTGAATCTCTCTTGGCCAGATGTCTTGCTAGATTCAGATTGGCAGGAGCAATGTTCTGAGCTTGGCATGAACCAAGCCATTGTGACTAATGCTATTGATGATTTAGGTGACAATAAGCATATGCCCAGTGGAACTTTTTCTTCAAGTACAGGAGGTTGTTTCTTGCGCATGGATTAACTTGACCCTTTTTGTCAATTGCCTGGTCTTCATTGAGAAAACTGCTGAATGTGACTCAAAGCTTTCTATTTTTCATTTATGCGTAATTTTTAATATGGGTAATCAGGATTCAGGTGTAATATTTCCCATTGAGTCTAATATGGGTGTGACTTGTGTTATCAAATGCACGGGTCGGAAGAGACCTGTGCCTTTCTTATCTAGCTTTATAACTTCTCTCTTTCTGTGTGGCATTTATTGTATACCCTCTCGAAACACTTCAGAACAAATTGCTTTTGCAGGTTTCTGAATAATTTGTGGAATAACGTTACACTTGAAACTTTGGACAGCATGCAACTCAATGCAGTGACAAATGTCTTGTATTTCTTTTAGTTTCCATTTGAATGTGCAAAAACCTTTAATGGCTTCTGGATATTCCTTTCCCCCCTGATTAGAAAACATAAAAAATTATGGTTGTCCCGCTCTATCTGTTGCACATTTTAGAAAGCATAACTAGCATTTTGATTGTGACAACAAAAGATGTAAAAGGAATGCGCCGTTAGCTCCAGATGATAAACTAGGGATATTAACCATTTTGAAAGGAAGAATTGCTAACAAATTAACATGAGAATCTAATTGATCTTTTTAAATTTTAAAACGATGCATTAGTGTTGTTGTAACATATTTAACAACTTTGAGCCTCAAAAAACATTAAAATGTTTGAAATAAATTAACCAAAAACACCTTTGCTGGCTAATATTTTATGGTAGTTTCGTCCCTTTAGAACAATTCGAAAGATGGGCATGAATCATCCTTAGATGGGTGAGGGGGTGAAACTTTCCTCCGCCGTTTCCTAAGCCAGTGGGGATTAGGTCTGCTCCTGCTAGTGGAATTAAGTCTATCGGTGAGTCTTTGTTGATGCGTCAATTGTAAGTATAAGTTCTACTCCAAGCTTGTAAACATGCCTTCGACTTCAGAATGAAGAATTTGTCGGTTTATGGCTTAAATATATATAATTTTTATTTTTACAATTTTTATGAGAATTTGATTTTAATAATTTTTAAAAAAAATGGTTAGCTTTTTCTGTTTGGTTAAAAAAAAAAAAAAAGACAAGTTACAAAATATGTAGACTATCTAGAATTAAAAGTTTATAAATCATCTAGAGTCAAAAGAATATTAGACAAACGTGTCAAATGAGTTAATTTGTCAATTATTAAATTAACTTTTTGAACATAACATATGAGCACATAAGAGAAGTTTTGCATGAGATGATAAATATTATGTAAAATAAAACACACTTTAAGAGAAACTAATTTGATTTCTTCGTAATAAAGTTTATTGCTTCTAAATTAGAAAAAAAAAATGGGTTACTTTAATTTTTCTAAATTCATCAATTTTTAATTTCTAATGATAATGTGATTTTACAAAATAACAAGTTATAACCTCTTAGTTGCATCATCATTAGAAATCATAATTTAAAAAATTTTAAAAATTTTAAAAATTAAAATTGTCAAAATATAAAGATAAAAAAATATGTTAAATTAATATGCTAGTTTCTATAGTTTTTTAAAATTTTAAATTAAGTCCTAATTAAAAAAATTAATCAAATCCTTATAAATTTAATTTTTTAATTAAATCATTAATAATTAACAATGTTATAATTAATGACATGATATTTAAAGTTTGGCAACCTATTTTTTTCATTTTAAATATTCTTTTATAGTTCTTTTTCATAAGTATTTTTCTTCAAATCTCAAACATATTATCACTGGGCAATATATTTGACGTTGAAATATTTTTTTTCTGATTTGTTATAATAAAATTTTATAAACTTGGTCCAAAAACTTCATATATGGCAGAAGTTAGTTTTAAACTTGAACTCTTTGTAGAAGTAATATTTAAGTGTCTTTAAAATTTTAGATTTCTTTTTCTGATGTTTTTTTGTTTATCATATTTTAATTTTGCATATTGAATATGAGAGTATAAAATGTAGTCTGAAAGATAAGTTTTTAATTATTGTTGAATTAATAACCTAGTAGCAATAGGATTTAGAGATTTAGGGAAAAAATTAGAAAAAAAAATAGGTTGCCAATTAAATTAGAAATATCATTTGATTGATATTTAATAGAGATATAATGATGTTAGTGTTAAAGATTTAATTACAAAAAGTAAATTATGAGTACTTAATTAAAATGCAAAAAAAAAAACTATAGAGACTAACCCATTAAATTAACCTAAAAAATATACTTAAGACTATCAACAACTCTAATAGAGTGCTCAGTAGAGGTGGATTCGGAAAAGTTTATAATGGATTCGTTGCTGACCCTCGAATTAGCTGTTAAGCTCAATCGTTGATAGGATTATATGAACAATTTCTAGCAAAGGCAAATGGTCATTACTTGTACAAAAGTTTCTATCTGAAGACCGAACTCAACCTCGATCGTGGTTGTCTTGACATAGAATTGACCTTTGAATTGCAGGTTAAACTATTGATTAAGTTCATCACAAAAATTTGAGTTCTCTTATTTGGTACTGCAATGTAGAAAACAATACATGGCAAATAGAAACCTGGATGTACTTCTTTCAGGTGTATGATTGTTCCCAACCTTATTCTATTTCAATGAGATTCACTCAAATTGGCCCTTAAAGCTTTCGAAAGTACTAATATTGATTTGATTGAACAGATAAAAAACAGCAAGGCAAAGTTCTTGACATGGGAAGATAGACTCTGAATAGCACTCAATGCAGCTCAAGTTGGTAAAGGAAACTAAATATGTAAATATCCCCTTCAATCCTTTGATTTTTCCATATCTAAATATGTAAAAATTTGATATTTACTATTTTGATGCTTGTTCTTTTGGATATTTTTCCTATGCTAGTTCTATAAGGTGTGGGATTTTGAGTCTCACATTGTTAGTATGAAATTTTAGTATGGGATCTATAAGGCTTTTAACTTTATAATTACAAAAAACTAACTTTTATGACACCGTTCATCCACGATTTTTATTAATTGGTATCAAGGAACTAAAGGAATTTGACAACTGAACTCAGCCCCCAGCTAGGTAGTACCTTTCTGATGCTAAAAATGATATTATTGTAAGCTATGGTATGCTTCAAAACCTGTTTGGCGTACTCGAATTTGTTGCATTTTGCATGTTCAATTCTTGAAGTTTGTTGATTTAATAGAGTACTTTTTCTTCTGTTTTATTCTAATGTTCTGAAACCAGGACCATACAGAAGCCAAAATGCCTTAAATCTTTTTTCTTTAAAAGTGATACTGCTCAAGAAGATATCTGTTTGCAGAACTTGAAATAATGACTTTCTCGTACACGGGAGATTGGGAGTGTATATTTAATATTTTGTGAATGCAGAAGGAGGTTGATGATTAAGAATAAAAGAATTAAGACAGACCCTTGATGCAATCAATTCGAACACAGTATATTTTAACTAATATTTGGTGATCAAATGAATCAAAGGTCCAAACTGCGTAGTAGCATTTTAATTAATATATTTTAAATTTTTAATGTGCAATCTTTGTAATTTATAATTAGCGTTCTATAATGTTGGCATTTTTCATAAATTAAATGCATAAAAATAAGGCAGTTGAAAAAGTATTTTATTATACCGAGTCACCACATACAATTCAACCTCAACCATAGTAGAACATGTAATACAATTGTCAACATCTACTAATAAAGGGCTACCTGCATAGGATGAATTAAGGTATAACATGCCAAATGCTAATAAGTGAGTGAAGCGACTACAGAAAACAAGGTTACCATCAGGTCAGTGTAGGTGAAAGTCGTAAACATCAAAATTTTTAAGGTGACAAAATTATGAGTCCTACAAAGAGTCTATTTGGAAGATTTTGTATACAACTTATAAAAAATAATTTATAAATCTTATAAGTTATTTTCACTTTATTTCATTAGGTTATTTTTAATTTAATTCAATAAATTTCATTATTAAATTTATGACGCAAACTATCACTTAGAAAAAGGTTTATTTAATAAGTATATAATTAAGCATTATTTCCATACATTCTAAGTAAAATTAAATGTTCAATGTGATACTTAAGCTGAGAGATTCTCCACCTAATGAACTAGTCTTTTGGTTTAACTCTCATGGTATGCTTAAGCTATTAAAAATAACAGGTAGGACAATTATCAATATCTGACAATAGAGCTCTTTGCCTAAAAATACTCACCCGCAAACAGATTTGTATTTTGGCCCTTTAACATCGTGACGTTCAAAGTTTATAACTTTCCTTAGGTTTAGCTTATTAAAACATTAGTTAATAAGCAATTATCATTCATTCAATTTATAGAAGAGATTAATTCAGACACAAATCTCAATTTCATTCAAGGTCAAAATCACTCCTATCCAACTTTAAAACAAATAAGCACTTCATCAACTAGGTCATCAAAAATTCCAGTCACTTCGAAAAACAAAAGGCACCAATGGGGGTGCATCCAATGCAATGTTATGGTTACTGTTACGTATCCAACATAAAAGAAATAAAATTGGTGTCGATGCAGGAAAAATGTGTGAATGCAGAAACAAACAAACCAGAGTCCAACAGAATCTATCTGTTGAAAATAATTAAAATAGATATCATCATCATGTTCACAAGGCAAATACAGCAAAAGCTGATAACAAAAAACCGAAGTACAACAGATATTACACTCAAGTACATGTTCAGTCAACACAATCCAGCACAGAATTTTCAAGATGCTTCCTTCAATGGATATGTTTAAAATCTACACAACTGTGTCAGGACACCAACAGAAGATCAGTCAATGTACATGATTACAAGTGGTGAATTCCAAACATGCTAGAATACCAAGCCATTTTACCCCTTAGAGAACACCATTCACTTGGCTAATTCCAGATATAAGAACTCTTCAACAATCTGCTTTATTTCTATTACCAAATCTAATACCCATTCATTCCCTGTATGGCAAGTAATCATGAAGTTTCTTGCAACCTATACATTGTGATTTCCTGCTGCTTGAAATATCGCCTGTCCTCTTCATCAACCAACACAAGATTTAAAAAGTACTTCACACTGAATTTGTTATTAATGTTTCGATGAGTTGGTGTCAGCTCATAAGGACTGAGGAACAGTCTGATTGGAATTGATTCACCTGTAAAAACAATCCCACATTAGTCAATGTGTTTATTTGCATATATGAAAATATAGGTTTTAACTCAGATGATGACGAGTTTTAGTGTTAACTGTATTTTATTTACTGTAATTCATTTTAATGAGTGCATTGTCCACCAATAGATGTTTGCATAGCTAATCATAAAGGTGAAATCAACATCTGTTGAAAGCTTTTGCCTTCAGAAATTGGTTTTGCTAATTGCAAGAAGAAGTAAGCAGAACACATTATGCATTGTTTCTTAAATGTTTTCTTATTCCTATTTTATTTTCTCATGTTTATTGGAAGGTCTTCAATCATTCAGTACATAAAAGTATGAAAACAATAAGATTTTTACTGATATATTATTTTAGGGCTTTAGAGTAATGCTAATACTTAATTGGTTCATGGCATAAAAGACTTGATAAAACTTTGCTATGTAAAGTTTGACAAATTATTATATTTCGGATAAATTACACTCTCTTCCCTGAGACATGCTTAAATTACACTATCTTCCTCACAGAGATGAAATTTATAGAATTTTAGCCCATTTAAACATTAACAAACCTCTGAGCTGTGGTGAACAAACTATGATCAACCCTCCTAAAGACATTTTTCCTCTCCTTGTATTTTTCAGCGTCACTAGAAGCTAATTTCAAAAACTTTATAATTAATTTTAGAATTTTGGAATATGCAATGAAGTTCTAAACATCCCTACCATTGCTTTTGGAACTTCACCCAAGAAATTTACTTCTTCAAAAGTTACAAAGTCAATAACTTTTAAAATAGATGGAAAGGAAATGTAGGTCAGCCATCTATAAAGGGATGGGAGTCATGGGACTGCAATTTACCCTTAATATTATATTTACTCAATTGAAAAAATGACACATTTTTGGGTAATTAAAATCAACATCTAAGGCAGAAATTTTTTTCCTTTAGTAATTTGTTTAACTAACAGCAAGCATGAAAGGTTATGAATACAAAACAGTAAAATACATTGTCATCTTTCTGGTGAAAGAGTAAATACAAAAAGATTTATGAATGCGTACAAACATGAAATACTTCTTAAAAACAGATATATTCTTTTATAGATGACATAGATCTAACCTATATTTATGTTATCAAAACTAGTATGTAAATAGAAACTAGAAAGGTATCTTCCAATTTAAAGGTTAAACTACCTCTGACAGGAGCACCATCCATCAGCTCAAATTTAGCCAATGTTTCAGTCTCAACATGAGTGTTAGTCCCTGATCCTGTGGATTCTCGACGCCTAATCTCAAGATCCATGTTTTTTATCTTGATTCTGACGAGTAAAAAGTATATCTTACCAATGATGACATCTTTCAGATGATACCTGAAAAGTTGTAAATCCTAGTTAAGCATTTACAACCGTTTTTTGCACTAATAAAATATAAATTAGATGAGAAAAATATTCTTTTCAAACCAATACACAAAAGCTCTATTTAGTGCTAAGAAGCATAGACATTTCTAAATGGTAGCCATGTCATGTGTAGCCATCCCTTACATGTATCCATGTTAAACACAGCCCAAACACTTCCAGTACTTTTAATAGCATTTTTTCTATTTTTCTAACTATAATTTTTTAAACTTGAATACCAATATAAATTGAAATACCACAATAATTAGAAAATTTTTAGTATTTTATACCATGTCTATAATAACTAATGCTTGTTTTTAAAACATAAATTAAACCTTTTGATTTAAAGATTTTATAGTAAACATTCTCTGAGTTATGGACAGAGATTTTGAAATCTAAGAATTTTCACTTGTAGTCAATAATAGCAATAGTAGGGCCAGGCGCAATTGCGGAGGAGCGACTGTTGCATAGTGTGATTCGCAGCAGTGAAAGGGAAAAAATGTGGCCATTGTGGCCGCTATGTTAAACCGGCAAAAGGGCAAGTTTGTCCTCCCTTTCTGAAAGTTGGAATGCATTTTAAGAGGGGACGGGGGCAATCTTAGGATTTCTCCCCCTTTTTATATCATGATACTCTGTGCTTCTCTGTTTTCAGAAGTGAAGATCGAACCCTATCTCCATCTCTTGTTCTCTTGCATCGTCTTCCATCTCCAATGTCACTTTATGGTGCAAGTCACCATTTCCGGCCAAGCTCCATTCATCTTTTTCGTCTTCCATGAAACCCAACTTATTTCTAATTTAAGCAGAGACATTTTCTGGTTGTCTTCTTCATATTTGGTAAAATTGAAAATGACATTATACCACAAGTTTCTAAGTTCAGGCACTTGATTATAAAGAAGGATGAGAAAATTAATGAAGATGAGTGGTTCAAATGGAGAAAATTTTTAAGAGTTATTTATGATCATAAAATATCTATCAAGTTGAAAGGAAAGTTTTATCATACTGCAATATGACCAATTATCCTATATACTAGTAGTCTTAAAGGAATAATATGAAAAAGAAAGTAGAAGTGGCAAAAATGAAAATTTTAATGTAAATGAGTGGTCATATAAGAAAGAACAGGATAAGAAATAATAATATACATAAGAATATTAAAGTAACACTAATAATAAAAAAGATAATAGAAAGTCATCTAAAGTGGTTTGGCTATGTGCAGAAAAAGCCACTAAAAGCACTAGTGAGAAAAGTGAATAGCGTGACTTTTAGTCCAGTAAAAAAAGGTAGAAGGAAACCCATAAGAAACATGAAAGAAATTATTAAAAAAGATCTATTGATAAATAATATTGATAAGAATTTGATTTTTATTCATACTCAACAACGTGTGATCATGTAACCAACCTTACCTGATGAAATAAACCTCTTTGTAATTATAGACATTTTATTATAGCCATGCTGTGTCCAATAATTTTTAAAGTTTGCCATATCCTCATGTCTATGTCCATGTCATATTCGAGCTTCTTAGATGCGGTGCTATTTTGACAAAATTATCTTTTTATGAAGATAAAGCAATAAATATTCAACAAAATTATTTTACATGAGTTGGAAATGAAATTCATAGGACAATGCAACTAAACAGGATGCAGCAATAAATATATTTCATACTCCAAGCTGCAAGTAGAAACTCCAAAGGAGACAAGTTGGTAAATATAAAGATAAACAATCCAATAAAAGTGACATTAGCTGTAGACACAATTCCAGTCAAATGATCAATCAAATATTCAACTTACTTGCTTTTGTTGTATTCAAATTCAATGTGTAGACAATCTTCAATTCCAACTTCCATCTATACAAGAAATAATATTATGCAATATAATTAAGAAATAAAAGTAGGCAATAACAAAGTTGTGAGGTAAAGAACAATGCAATAACTATACATGTGCCTGCAAATACTTTAACAATGATTAATTGAATGAAAATGGTTGACATAAATTCACTTTATTATTGCTCCTGAGTCATTGTTTTTAATTGTTGGAAAGTTGTCAACATGAATCGCTATCACAGCTTTATACAATGGCAATGAAATGTGTGCTAGACACAGCATTAAAAATTGATTATCATGTTATTGTGCTCACCTTGATGCTATTGTTAATTTGCGGAGGTGGAGAATAGTTGCGAACCTGGTGAATAAAGATTGAAACAAAAAAATACAAATTAATGAAAATGGATAACAGAAAGTTCTATGTATTTAACATATAGACATACATACAAACTTTATTTTCTTTGTGAGGTGGGGAAATAGTGTACTCATGGAAAATATATACTTTACAGCTTCATCCAACACACTATTATCCATGAAATGCAGTGTTTTTGACAAAATAACAATAAATTCAATATCTTACACTAGAAATCACAAATTTCTATTTACCAATATAGAACATACCACAAAATCCTGGTACTCTACTATGCTTCCAGCATAACCACGATTAATGGTCACTTTCAATACATACCTGGAGATTATGAAAGTATAAAAACATCAAATAATATCATATTCAGGCTCTTCATCCTCTTACTAGCAAAGTAAATATTCAAGAAAGACAAGCATATGCCATGGTAGTTTAAATAGGAATTTGAATTGTTAAATCCCACAATTTTACAATTTGGAAGGCTCAATCGATTCAAGTTGCTGGAAAAATCACTCCCCAGTGAAATCATTGTGAAATTGAGATTTAAATCGAAAAATCCCAAGAATCATAGGATTTCACTTTGACTGAATCCCAACTTATGATTCAAATTACAATTTTACGAAGGTAAAATTCAGATTTTAACTACCTCAGCATATGCATAAAGTATTTAACATATAAGGCCATGGATGATGGATCTTTGAGATATCATACCTAAGTCTCACATTCACCCCATTATACGTCTCATATGGCATTTCAACAGTAGAAAATTCAAACGCATATGTTTTCCTTTCATAGATTTCTCCAGGAACATCCAGTTCTCGTACTGCAAAACAAAAATATTACTTAACAGCTGTATAAGTACGCACCACATGGATCACCACACTAGTTGTTGCATTAAATGAAAGGCTAACTACAACAATGTAAAATATTTTCAGTCAAGACTGAAAGTGGCAGAACACTAATTACCAAGGGAAGTAAAGTCATAAAAATTTCCTCTGTCAAAATACATCTCTGCACAGTGAAACAAAATTCAAAATAAAGTTTGTCAGTAAAAAAAAGTGAAAAATGATAACAGTCATAAGCAAAAAATTATTCCCGAAACCAATAATGGAATAAGTTTAAGGCAAGCAGAGAATGGAATATTATTTCTTTGCTGGTCATTACCAGAGAAAAATTTAACAGTTGCATCGTTGTAAAATTAATATTAAGAGCTCAAATTTAAAATAAGATCATCAATGTCAGGAAGATTATATCAGTTTCAGCTACAGATTCTCAATAGAAAAAAAGGGTGGGTACAAAATCCAATGAACATATTCTATAAACTATTCTGACAAAACTAAAATGAAAAGCTTAAAGCAGGGCAATATATCTTTCTGCTTGACAGCTTTAGGACTAAAAGCTTTTAGCATATTAATTTGATGATGTTATCCTAAGATGTATAATATTTTATGCTTTATCCCAAATCAAACAAATTAAGCAGAAATGCGGATAGCAAAAATGTATAATAGCTAAATAAAAGATAGAGAATCAAGTTGGAATATTTATCCTAAATATCAATTTTGAAAAATGATGAATGAAAATCAGAGAGTACCATACATCCTCAATGCACGACTGAATTATCACATGACTGCAGTCCCCTTAAAGGTGTGAAGACGAATTACATAGAAAATCACACAAGTTACAAACAATGCAATTGTAACAATGGCACATGCCTAAGAGTCCTAATCAACAATCATAAATGAATGGAATTTAATACATGTAATACAAAAGCCAAAAAAAAAAAAAAATAGATAATGAAAAAATTCCTTTTAGCGAATGGAGGAGAACCATATTCTTTGAATGATTATTCACAAGGAAAATTCCTTTAGATTGTGTTTGGTTGAGGTAATAAAAATTTTAGAGAATTTAAAATTTTAAGAAATTTAATTTACATCATTTAAATTTCTATTATTTTAAAATATTTTGTTTGGATAGAGTAATTGAATTTCCTTCATTTCAAATATTTTTGTTTGGATAGAGTAATTAAATTATTTACATTCTTAAAAAAAATAAAATTATCACTATATTTGACAAAATTAATTAAAAATATGAAATTTAAATTATTAAGTAACCATAATTAAATAAAAATATAAACGGAACACACAATGAATGAAAATATTAATTATAAATTCTCACTCTTTTGTAAGGGTTCAGAATTCTTTGATTTTAATCTATTAAAAATCCCCAATTAAATTCCTAAAATTTTAAAATCTTTAAAATTCCTTATCCAAACAACAAATTTTAACCCGAAGAATTGTAAATTCTTTAAAAAAATGAATTACTCTCTTGAAATAACTCATTCAAAATTCCAAACACACTCTTAAGCAGTTGCATCAAAATGCTACAAAGTACAATAGAAGTTTGCTATCATAATCAGTTTCATCACATAGAATTATTACAAAAAAGGTTTTAAACAATCATCCATTCTTCTTCTTTTTGTTTTTCTCCATTAACACTTCAGAGACACATGCACATTCAAGAGTTAGAAACATTAGTCAGGTACAAACCTATCTGTCCAAGGAGCTCAACTTTTACACCATTGTGATCAATCTTCTTCCCTTGCATTGGTTCTATTGTTATCTAAACATGAAGCAGATAAATGAATATTCAATGTTGAAGCTTGCAAGACAAATATCAGAAGTTATTGTAAAACATCATGTGTTTAACATCAACAAATAAAATACCTTCCCAGCAATGTTTTCCTGACTTTGAAAAAGTGGGACTGTAACTGTTTGACCATTTTCTTTTTTAAACGGAACCTAAATAGCCACCAAAAGGATATCAATCAAAATGAATATGCAACAATAAAAGTCACTACAGTGATTAAGATGACAATTCCCCACGCTGCTGAACCTTCAATAGCATCAACATTTACCTTTTGCAACATTATTACAGAATGTAATGGCCATAATGTGATGTATACCGTTATTTCCCATAATTGAAATTAAGGTAATAATAATTAAAAAAAAGCGGTGGCTTACCTGCTTACGGTTTTTTCCATCGTTAAACGTGATCAAGACATTACATGCAGGCTTGAAAGCTCCAAGAAGATAATTCTATTTTTTTTTTTTTCGGTAAAATGTGTATAGAGGGTCACAACCATCACCGGATCAAGTAAATCAAGGTTAGAATAAATTAATAGCATCAACAGGGACAGAACCAAAACATTAACACCCTATGAAACAACACTCACCATGCTGTTCACAATCCAATTTTCTTCTTTCTACCTCAGTACACACACCAGCACCTGTCAAATACAAATCTCCCATTGTAATCTTTAAATAAAATAGCATTAACACAAAAACAACATTCCTGATGCCATAGATCTTCACCCCCAAAATACAAATCAAAACGACTTAATGGCCAATTGGGTGTTCAAGATCATACTCAAAATCCTTGTTCTCTCCAAATTATCAAAGCTCATGGCTATCCCCCTCCCAAACCCTAAAACCGAAATCTAAACGAAATTCAAGTGATACCGTGTGCACGATTTCGCGGATCAAGAGAAGGAAATGATAGAGAAATTGCGATGATTGGTGACGTCGTTTGATGTGATGAAAAACCGATCAAAGAAACGCATAATTTGAAGTGAATCTGCAACTCACTAAGCCCGAACAGTAACACGATGGAGGTAGAAGTAGCAGTCGCATTTTCTCATTTCTTTTGTTTTTCAAAGCTTAAACGCAACGTCGTTTCGCTCACGTGTGTGTGTGTGTGTGTGTGTGTGTGTGTGAGAGAGAGAGAGAGAGAGAGAGAGAGAGAGACATTTTTTTTCTTTCATTTCAATGCTGTCTTTAGACTTCCGAAAAAGCCACTGTTGTCCACTTGTCCGTGTAGTTTGAGCTAGTTTTTAACAGCCAGCCAACTTGGGGAGTAGTGAATTTTAAATTAGTTAAGTGGTGACAAAATTAAATCATTATAAATATTATATATTAAATAACTAAATGATAATGAACAAAATTTAAATTTTATGATTTTTTAAAAATTTTATATTTTTTATATCCTTTTTAATTTAATGAGCTAGTTTATTGAATTAGTGAGTTAAATTGAGTTAGTAATTTTTTTTACTGCGGTGAATTAAATTAAGTTAATTTATTGTTAAATATCACTTGTAGTAGATAAAATGAAGCTAATTAACTCATATTGATATCAATAGCTCTATCTTATAATATATTTAAATTAGGATAGAACAAATATGAAAAATAAAAGAGAAAATAAAAAGATAAAATGAAGCAATAAATAAAAAATTATTTAAACGTATAAAAAATAATAAATAAATTGTGGGTTTCCCATTTGAGTGAGAGTTTATTTTTATTTTTATTTGAATGTGTTTCACATCATTTTAATTCTTTTCTCACTGTTTTTTTAATTCAAACATATAATTATTTTTCTCTTTTCTATTTTTTTTTATCTTGTAGTCAATGAGACTAAAACCTAGCTTATAAAACAACAAACCTAATTAATCAATAAGTGAAAAAAAATCATATAATCTCTAAGAAGAGATATAAGTTAGGAAAGAAATATTGTAACATCTTTAATTTTATTAATACATTTTATTTTGTTTTATTTTATTTTGTATTTTATTTTAAATTAGTAGAATTTTAAACTTCTAGAAGTTGCAAAAGGTTTTATTCAAATAAGATTGAGTTTTATGGACTAGACATTTCAAAACATTCTTACTCAGGCAAGATGAATCTAGTCCAAGCGAAAATAGATAATATCATCCTGATTGTCCTTTCAATTAGGCGAAAAGGTACAGGAGAAAGTGGGAACTCTTTGGACTCAATTTTGCTTAAGCGACCCTGTATAAAAATTTCTGTCTAGTATTCTCGTTCAGGCAAGAATATGTCTCGCTCAAGTGAGAATTAGCAGGTCAAAATAGGTATTTAAGAAATCTTCCTATTTAAAACTTGTATTGTAGGTCAAAAAAACTTCTCTCACATTTTTCTCTATTCTCTCACAGCCCTTTCTGCCCTTTCTGAAAGAAAACTCCTTCAAACTTTAGGCCTATTTCAAATCCGAGCTTAGACATCCATTCCTCTTGATCTCAAGTAAGTTCCTCGGAACTTAGTTCTCCAATCTTATTTCTATTTCTCCATTTTTCTCCTTTTTTCAAAAGTGTTTTATTTTGTAATATATAGGAAGAACTTGGTCTTTTAGACAATATCTTCCGCAAACCTTCTACCAAATCTTCTCATCGAGGTAAGGGGAGCTTTATCCCACCATTAAAACTTTAAATATTGTTGTACTCATGAAAGTATAATATTGTGTTCATTTATCTTATAAATATATATATATTTAAATTGAAGTTTTGCTATTTGTTAAAGTTAGTGATGCATGTTTGGTTAATATTGAATAATTGAAACATATTTTTCTTTGAAATATTTGATTCAGACTAAGTCTAGATGTGCTTGACCTTAGGCACAATTTATTTAGTTAAGTGATGAGAAAATGAATAGAAGAAAATGTATTATAAGTGATGGTGATGAAAGGAATTAATTTAAATGATTACAAAGATACATCGAGAGTATAGAGTTTAGAGACAATTTCAAAAATCTAGGAGAAATGAGGATGGTGAATGTTATTCGTAGTGCTTATGCATAAACTAATTAAAAGGAAAGTATCACAGGTCTCACACTCATTTTTCGACTAGACTCTTGATTACACTTTTGCTAAGAGACCTGTTATTGTGTACGTTATATTCGTGTGCACATGCTAACCGACTACCATTTGCCTATATGTGTAAGACCTTATGAAATGTTGGAGGCAACATTCTAATGTGATCATAGTGTACGTCCAAGTGTGTATATAAGAAAGTGATAGAAGATGTTATATAATTAATATGTATGAATTATGGTATCATTGATATGTGTTGTATTGTATGTGATGTGGAGATTTATATCAGTGTGTTCATTATATTTTAGTAGTGAGGAGAAAATTCATCTTTACAAAATATTTTCAAGAAACAAGGATGATCACACTACAAAGACCTTTTAGATTGTAAGAGTTTACTACAGAGTAGACTAAACAATGTATTTAGAGAATGGTATAAATTTATTATAACTAGTGAAAACGGATCTAACAATGTAAGTACACTAGAATTCACCATAGGATATAATGTTCTTTTTGATTATCCTGTTAATGGTAGAATACACCACACTTTATGTTTGTATGTATATGTTGGGACAATTCGAATACCCAAAGCTGTGAATTATGTGTATACCTTCCACAACCATGATCAAATGCGAAGACCAATCACTTTTACCTGAGAGTAAATCACTGGTACAGAGGTCGTTGCAAATGCTGAAGATTTTATGATGAAGAATTGACACCATAAAAGTTGGAAGAGATAGAGGGTTGGTTTGATAATGATAATTATGATCTTGCTCTCAGAACTTTTGGTGTGAGAGTACACTGCTTATTAGGACTTGGTATATTTAATTTTCTAATTATATAAATGAAGTCCTAATGTAATTTTTTATATTATGAACTAGAAATATTAAACTTTTGTATTTGAATAAAATGAAATATATGTACATTTTCTTACTGCTCAAATGTAAATTTTAATTAGCAAAGTTATAGCAAATGGAAAATATTGATCTCATCTTTTCTTGGATATTTTGATATTTTCACAATTTAAATAAATAAAGTGAATGTTTAGATTTTTAATAAATTATTTTTAACACGATAGGTATAAAAAAATTCATATTATTTTATATCTTTGATATGAATTAACACATAAAACAAAATAATAAGTAAGAGTGTCACAAATATTCTAATAAAATATCATTCTTTGACACTTAATAAAATCAATTAACTAAAAAATTAGTACAACAGTTAGTTTCTCTATACATATGATATAAGCTAACTATTCTACAAAATTGATTCAAGTTTCTAATCTTACTAACAATAGGATATAACTTGTTTCTAAAGGAAAGATGACCATTTCTACCAACACCCCTTCTAGATCAAGCTTTTTCACTAGTCTAAGATATATAAGAAGAGTCCAAAGTTGAACAAACAACACAAATTCTCTACCAAGTCTTTTAGTAAAATCAACTTGAAAAGTTGCCTTAGTCATCACTAGGATTACAAATAAATTTATCCACATTAAGCTTCAATATGTGAAAAGGAGGTTAGGTCCAACCTATCAATTTTTATTTTTTTTTACAAATCATGTGAATTAAGGAATGATTCAAAATAAAATCAAAATTAATGTAATGTACATAACTATGCATTTTACAAAGAAAAATCTTTATATTTTTTATTTTTTATTAAAAACCAAATCATTTCTATTTAACTATAGAAGCCAAATTGCAACACCAAATATAATATTTTAGTTATTGATAAGTTTGTATTTTGACATGTTTTTACAACATATACTTATATGTGTGACCATTATTTTACTAGAATTTTACACAAATTGTACAATTTAACATGAGAATATCCCAATTGGGTTTAAGGTGCATTTTGAGCCCAAATTGAATGAAAAATAAGGTATCACCACATAAGTATGCCAATATTTTTGTAATTGCACACCTATGTTTTAGAGCAAGTGAATGATCAACACCATACTATTGCATTGCATGGATTGTTTCAGTCAATTGGGATGGAGGATAAGTTGTTAGTTCAAGAAGTTCAGAAAGAAAGGACCATGGCTGAATCACAGGAAGCTTTACCATATCCCAATTCCAAGCTAAATTGCTCCTTCTTAAGGAACAATAGTAACAAGTGTCTTTCTCTTGAGCAAAGTCAAGATCCTTTTATTGTGTTTAAACTAGGAACTAGTCCTATCTGTATGAGGCCTTATAAGTATGCTTGTCACCATAAGAGCAAGATTGAGCAACAAGTTAAGGCAATGTTAAATTCTAGAATTATATAGCACAATAAGAGCCCCTTCTCTAATCCTATAATTTTAGTTAAAAAGAAAGATAATTCTTGGCAAATGTGTATAGACTATAAGGCACTTAATAAGGTTACTATACTAAAAAATATCCAATTCCCATGATTAATGAGCTGATTGATGAATTATGTTAGTGGGCAAGTGTATCCATTTTAAGTAATAAAAAGATTTTCAAAAAAGAGTTTTCCAGTTATCGTTCCACAGATATTATTTTCAAGTACTAAGAATACCTTGATTCGATTGTCTAAACGCAAAGGGAGTGAGATAGATTAAAAACAAGACTTAATGTTAACAATTAATTGAAGAGAATAATAATGCAACGTATGAGAGAAATCGAATAAGATGAGCCTAAGACTTATGATTTTACCTATTACACTTCTTTATGTTCTAATTATTTTAACTCTACTATTGGTATCTGAATATTTGCCAACCACTCATATTAGTTCTATTAACATTCAATGATCATGCAATGTTAATAATCACCTCCAATGATCATATAAGGCAAATAGTCGAGAAAACATAAAGACCCTATTGTCGCAACCAGACGGTCGCAACGGTACGGCAAAAAACGTTTTTAAGAAAAAAATCAGTAGAGTCGCCACCAAGGTTTATTAAAGAAAACCTCAGAAAAACTTAAAATTTTGATCTTTGAAACCAAAAATGGATTCGGGAGTCCTTTATGTGCAAGGAAGGTTTTAGCATCCTACAACGTTCGTTTAAATAACGGTTACCTTAAATTACTTGTGCAAATTTATTATAATTTTGAAAAGTATTTATTTAACCTTAAAAAGAATGTTGCTAT